TAACAATCATTTTGATATTTTCATGTATGGCAGACCAGAATGTTTGTGCAACAGGCAGGAGCACAACAAAGCTGAGTCACACTCTGAATCTGCTTCGAGGGCTGAAAAGGACCAAGTGTGAAAACACCCTGAACTGCACTGCGGACTTGGAGCATATTGAACCGGTCTGAGTTCGGTTCTCTTCAGAGGGGTCTGAGTTCTCTTGGAGTGTTCACATATGCGCAAAAAAATGCTGAGTCACAGTTCTGAATCTACTCAGAGGGCTGAAAAGGAAAACAAAAGTGTGAAAACACCCTAAGAGGACTCGGACCCCTCTGAAACAACCCAAACTCAGACTGCCTCCCGAGGTGTCTGAGTCTGCAGTGTGCTTCACTTAACCTGTGCATTGTGAACACAAAGTGCGCCAGGTTCACTTTGCTCTTTGCCATTGTATTTAACCCTCTAGATCACATGTTGTTGACCTGGGACACTTGAAAAAACAGACAAAACCAAGTTAGCCTGTAACTCAGAATGAGGTGCAGGATGCACATAGACTGTATAAAATAAGGAGGATGCAGGAAAAGGACTAGTTTGGTCCACAGAAGATACTGCACATCTCCAGATGTGGAATGTAGAATACATCAGCAACAGTCTACAACACAGACACACTAAGGTGCCACGTCAAAGAAAAAACAATAAACTATGTCAATATTGTATATAGGCTATAGTGTGAACGGAAGGAGGACTGAGGCCCCATTAGAACTGAAGTGGACCAGAAAGAGAACTGGGTCCTCTTTCAAATGAACTGACAATGTGAACTTAAGATTAGAGCTCTGATTGCCAAAACCTTTAAGCAACAGGAAGCAGTATTTTGATGCCTCATGGCCAGTTCCAAATATTTTAACCACATTAAACTGACAGGGCTTGGCGGGGAGGTTGTAGTGGACCTGAATGTTTGAGTTAGAAGATGTCTAATTTGAAGATATTTCCAAAACTGCTCATGAGTTGAGTGCATGTACTTCAAGTGGTATGATCATGCAGTGTGTTGTACGAGAGTATATCCTGGAACAAATTGACATCAAGAATAACAGAGTGACAGCTTCTTCACAGCTATCAATCGCTGGTTCTTTTTGCATTTTCTATTGTGTAGAACATGGAACATTTTGAACATGTAACTGTACAATATGATGTGAAAAAAAGGTCTGTGTGGAATTCATATTTTGATAGGAGCCGTCTGTTAGAGGCCAGGCAGTACATCGATGCATTGCAAGTCCTCATGTAACAAACAAGAGAATCTCCCTATGCTACTGCACTCAGTTGCCACTTTATTAGGTACACCTAGCTAAAACTAGCCCGCAGCAAATGAAGCTCTAGCAAAAGTTCAGTAAGGACGACAGCACTTTTCAGGCTCAGGCTGTAAGTTTTTTCCCCTGCCATTCACTCCTGGCACGTATGCTCATGTGTGCACCTTCGACCTCCCCATCACCACCTAGTCTTCCAGATTCATCAGCCTCATATGCCTCAGCAGCCTCAGAGTCATCAGCCACCACTACCACTATTGTGTGGACTGCATGGGGGGGGTTTATCCTGTTGCCGCTCAGATGTACCTCAATCACAAAATATCTCCCTCTGGTTTGCTTCCTGTTCAACACACCTGATTCCCACTACCTGGAGCTTACTTATATGCTCTTCACACATGGATGCTCCACCCTGTGTTCAGTGTCATAACTGCATGTGTATATTTATATCTACCTTGTGTTTAGTTAAGAATAAAGTAGCTCTGGAACAACCTGCCCGAGGATATAAGGCCGTCTAAGTCACTGTCTTCGTTTAAGTCTCTCCTAAAAACATACTTCTAGCGGAAAGCATATCCTGACTTTATCTGAGCTGTCTGTTTTATTTCTATATTATTGATGTTTATGCCCGTTTATTATCTTGATTTTAACTTTGGCCTTCCTTATTTTATCTTTTACTAGATTACATTTTATGACGTTATTTGTTTTATTCTTCTTGTGTTTTAATTTTGTTTAATTTTAGCGTACAGCACTTTGTGACTGTGTTTTGAAAGGTGGTTTATAGATAAAGTTTATTATAAAGTTTATTAAAATAAACAAACAAAAACTATATTATGGCTCCAACACACATGCATTGATGTATAATATGATGTTAACTCCACTACAGAAGAGACTTGATGATCACTAAACTTAGGTAGGGAAAAAAGTGAATATATTGATATCGGTATTGGTTATCAGCCAAATAAGTTCGACAAGTATCGGCATATCAGATATTGGCAAAAAAATCCAATATCGTGCATCCCTAGTGATAATGTTTAGAGATTCAATGATCATTTTGGAGGATGTAGTTTGTGGTGCTAATGAACTGAGGCATTTCTGTTGTTCATCTTGCCCTCACTGATATAAATGGGGTTGACACTTAAAGACTCTCTGAGTCTTCCTTGAAAAGTTTTTGTCACATACAGCAAACATCTCAGCGAAAGCAAGCACAAACACATGAACGCGGTGCCCGTGTCTCACAGTCTCGCGCAAACGTGCACATGTGAACGCGGTGCCCAGAGAGGCAGTTAGGGCTACAGCCTACAATGAGGCTATAAGGCGAGCTAGCTCCATTGTGGTTGATAACATTGTTGAACGTAAACAGAAGTGAAGTGTTTTTGTTGCCATTTGCGGAGCCTGGGTTGCCTACAGAGACCGGACTTTTTCACAGTTTTTTACATACATATTTTTTGTATATTGTTTGGATCCAAATATTTTATTTGTTTGTGTCAATAAAAAAAAAACTAACTAACTAGAAAAATATATCTCATAATAAAAAACATGGAAAAATAAATTCAATTGCACAACAAATAAACAAAATGCAGGTTGAGAAAGACACATAAGGAAAACAAAAAAACCTCCAGGGTCTTCTAAATGGCATGAAACTGAAATGTCTAAAAAAAAAATTTAATTTTTGAGTTTCAAATTTTTAATAGTGGTCAAATAAGTTTTAACATCTTTAAAAATATAAAAGGAGCGTAGTCTTGTCTGCTTTCATGTGCCCCGAATCTATGAAGAAAGGAACAATTTCCACTGATCATTATTCTTTTTTATTTATCGATATCTTTTTTTTTTTAAAAATACTTATCATTTTCTCCTCTTAAATCATTACTATTATAGTTTTTTATTTTTGTGTACTTCTTTTGGGATGTTTATGAAATGAAAAAAAAAGAAAAGAAATAATTGAAAGAAAAAAAGGGTAGTTTTTGCCAAATCATTTCATGTATTTTTCTCTGCAAATTTGTGGATGTTCCCTTAAGACAGTGTTGTATTGTGGGTTGTTTGTAGCTGTACTTTTGCAAGGCCAGCCACAATTTCATGGTGTACTGCTGAATTAACCAGTCCTAATTTTGTCCAGTTTAACAGTTTAACTAACAGTATAAGTTAATACATGTTTCCTGTGTTACTTGTTTTGACAGTTGAAATGAATCCTAAAGAGTGACGGTAGCTGTCAGCTGTCAATTAGAAATACAATGGTGTTACTGAATATCATGTGAGAAGATGGAAAAGTAACCCGACATACTTCATGAGCAGTTAAAGAAAACACTTTGACGTTTACAGAGAATGTATCTGTATGAATAACATAATGGATAACTTTGGTTTCACTCGGAAATACACCTGGACAACCCACACAATGGTAAGATTAACACCTTAGGGGAGTTTATACAAACAGTATGTCAGACTATTATATACATGGGAAAAAGCTTCACGGCTGATAGGTGACATAAACTTGTCGAACGTGTTTTGTTCAACGTAAAAACAGCAGGATAATGTGCTAACATAAGCTGAGCTAACGTTAGCTTGTTAGCATCTTCTGTGACCTCACAGCTGACGTTACACCGTGATTCGGTCACATAACGCTCCGTTAGAAATCGTGTTTTGGATAAGTTAAAGCTTAATTTTTAACTCGTTTTTAGAAGCTGGTTGCAATTATTAGCGTGTTTTTTTTATCATATAGGTGTGCACCATTTATTAGGAGTGGTTAAATATTTTTCCGGGCCGACATTAAAGGTAAAATCCAATGTTTTCACAGTGCGTCGGGCCGCTACACTCTGCTAAGCTAAATTAGCTGTGGCAGGGCAGTGACCGGAAGTGTTAGATTTCACGAAAATCACGAAAATAATTTAAGATGAAATCCCCTCCTGAATAACAGGTAAAACTATTAATTAATAAATTAAATTAAATTAAAATAAATTACATCAAATTAAATTAAATTAAATTAAAATTAAAATAACATAAAATTAAATAAAAATAAAGTTTTGACTTATCCCCTCCCGTGTTTTAAAACGATTGTAAATCGTACTAAGCCAAACCCAATCCATTGATTATCAGAATCAGAATCAGAAATACTTTATCGAACTCAGAGGGGAAAGTGAGACTAGTAAGAAGTAAGAAAAGAGTATGAAATAGAAGTATATAAATATAAAGCAATAAAATAAAATAGAAATGAAAATGTACATTATAAAATAAAAAAACTATACTGTATGCATATATATGTGTGTGTGTGTGTGTGTGTGTGTGTGTGTGTGTACACATCAATAGAATTAATGCACATTCTTGTTATTTTAGAATTTTAAAAAAGACTAGTAGGTTGTGTTTTGTCATATTTACCGTATTACTTATGTAAACAATATTAAAACTAAAAATGATAATTTATTATTGTCAGTGAGTTATTATATATGTAAATACATTTAAAGTATGTTATCATGGCATAATTAATTTTTATAGATAGAGGAAGAGGATAATAAAATAAAATAAAAATAAAAACTTCTTCCAGCTCAATAATAACATTTTACAGCTCTCAGTGCCACAGTCACTGAAGCACTCTTATTTTGAAAGCTCCACCGGAAATAAATGTTTATCAATAATCCGTGCGGTTTGACACGTTATCCCCTGTCTTCACCTCCCTCCCCTCCCTCACCTCTCCGCATCCTCCTCATCCTCCGCCCCCTCCTCCCTCCTCCCACCCCACCACACTCTTCCCCTCGCTCACACCGGTAGTTGTCATGGCGATGGAGTCAGCCACGGCGTCGGCTCCAGGGGTTGTTGCCATGGAGATCCCGGTGCGAGGTGCGCTCCCGGTGGTTGAGGAAGACGAGGGCTACAGCGCTCCGCCGCCGCCGGGGTCCGAGGAGCCACTACGGTACCGCCGAGGAGGAGGGAGACGGCGGCGCGGGGTGCCGTTCAACCGGGGCTCCTACTACATGCTGATAGTGATCGGGGAGATCGGCACGGAGCACCAGCTGGACACCGCCAGAGCGCAGATAGAGCGGGGTGAGTGACGGACGAATCACCGGTCTGTGGTTGTTATCTGCTGGGCAGCTGTGACTGCAGCTCCGGGATGGAAAGTGATTCAAACATCAACAGGAGAGAAATGTTTTGACGCAATGGACAGGATAGTATCCATAGGTAGAGGCAGCTGCTGCAGCATTGCACCATGGGACACCACGCATTTTCTCTTGCCCACTGTGAACTCTATGACTGCGAAATTGCAGACTCAAGTTGTGGATGCAGCAGAGGTGTTCTGTCTTTAACAGAGCAGTAATTTAGCAAACAGCCTGTCTCTCTGTTTTACCAAAATACTGCACTCTGTTTTATCAGTGTGTGAATCAAATACAGATTAGGCAGAGATCACTGACTGATCAGCACAGCACAGCTGGATAAGATGAGTAAAATAAGGGACTGTTCTTTACTTACCAGAGGAGAGGTGTGGCTGGGGTGTGACTCCCCGAAGCGACAAATATGTTTCCTTGAGCCTCTTGTAGTGACTGGAGGAAAATGCATGACCCTGCCTCCACCACAAATCAATTATTAGATTTTAAAAAACGTACCCTGTGATGTCTGAAAATGAAAAGTTGAAGATGAAATCCTGGAGTTAAAAAAACCCCTCTGTTCTTCACTCTTGTCGTTCATGCTGGTTAGTCACTGCAAGCAGTTTATTTTTGGCCAAATGTTAAATGAGTTTGGTTATGTTGTTTCAGAGGGATGCTTTGGTTGCACATGATGTGTTCAAGGACCGTCAGAAATTTGAAAGTCTAACCATAATTTCTGTTTTTGTAGCTCCTGGCTGTGATTAATGGTGTAATTTTGGCAATATTTGCCTTCTAAATCCACAGACAGATTTAGGGATTCAGATGGCCAATATGTCCCCCGATATAGTGGCAGAAATGGGATATAATATAAAAAGTATATTTTCTTTTGTGTATAATTATCTTAAAATAAAAATCGTTGTGTTATTGTTACCTTAAAGGAAATAGCCACTTTAGAAAGAAAATACAGACAGTACTTACTGACCCTCATGCTGACAAGAAGTCCAGTGTAGTTTTTTAATCCACAAAACTCGTTTGGGATATCGGAGGATAACAGCTAGCCGGAATAACAGCTACACTTGAAGTGCATGGAACCCACATTTTGAAAATGTAATAAAACTCAGCTAATGCATTTCAAAAACGTCAGAACAGCTCGTCCATCATAATCCAAGTGCCCTGAAGCCACGGCATGCAAAATTGACTTGAAAAGACGTAATTTACTCCACTTTTATCGCTATCATTTCTCACCGTGGTCAGTTAGCCTGCACCACCACTAGTCTCATGCAAGTTGCAATGTAAACACAGCACTCCTGCAGGCTAACTGACCACGGTGAGAAATGATGCGATAAAAGTGGAGTAAATTACATCTTTTCAAGTCAATTTTGCATGCCGCGGCTTCAGGGCACTTGGATTACGACGGAGCGGAATGTTTCAGAGAGAAGTTGCAGTGGTGTGAACTGGCCGTCTGAGCTCGACTCAGCTAGGCTGATTGTGTCACCTGCAACTCAGCTGTTCAAATCGCCGGCAGCTGGTTTTAGAACGTAAAGCATCCGCTTGTAGTGAAGTCCGCTGGCCAAGTCAAAATGAAGGCAGATGGTGTGTTCACTTGCTGCGGCAAGTGCTCTGTCCCCTGCTGAGCCCTCTGTTTCCGTCCTCATGGTGTGCCAGTGTCAGACGGTGGGTCACTTCTGCTGCTCACTGTATGTGCTTATGTCCCCCCGACATCCACACACACAGTCTCTTTGACTTATTAAATTGGCGCTGGTTATTTACATTATTGTGGCATATTTATTATGAATACAGTCCATCTGATGCTGGTTTTGTTTGTTTTCCACCGTTTCATCACTACTACAAATGCAGCTGTAGCCAGTATCTCACCATCACGATCCTCATTCATATTTTAAGAAGCTACAAATTATATTCAGCCACAAAAGCTGCAAATCAGAACAGAAGTACAGAGAGCTGTTGCATAGAGATGATACACCGTTTCATCTAGTTGCATTGCTGTGAACCGGCAGGTTTTTAGAACGTTGCACAATGGCGCATTGCAAGTAAATTTAGTTGCCTGTTTCAACTCGTCACGTTGCGAATCATTGGTCTGAACTGGGCTTAAGAATGAGCAGATTACATCTACATGAAACAGGACCTTGTTTATGGACACTGCCATGTTGCACTGCCATGTACAGTAGCCCAGAACAGAAAAACCAAACTCTGGCTCTAGATAGGGCCATTGGCATTTTTTGCGTCGGCCACTGGAGTCTCTGACCCTAACCTTACCATGACACTACTTTATTTGGTGTATTTACGGGTTTAAATCACCTGGTTTGTTTCTTTTGGAGCGGAAGAGTCCTCTGTGGGTAACTCCTGGTAAAAACCTCCAGAACAATGAACACTAAAGGACGTTTTAGCTGGTTGCAATCTGCAGTTCACCACTAGATGCCACCAAATCCCCCTGAATCTTACACGCTTCACTTTTAAAATGAATGCAAATACAGTTATTTGGAGTTGTAAATCCCTCCCCTAAGCCAAAACAAACATATGTTCCTCCCCAGGACTTAAAAAAATTATACGACACGCCTCTTCCCTTTTGCACTACCCCCTCCTCCCCCTCATAAGTAACGAACAGTCCCTAGTAAAACATTTATTTCCACCCTGCACAATAATGAGCCTGTAAGTTGTTGCAGCAGACATCTAAAATGCAGTTTACATTTGAGCAGGCGAATGTGTGTTTGGCATGTGTGTCTCTACATGTGTGTATTCCTGCATGGCAGTGTCCTGTTCCCTCAAACCAGTAAACAAACATCTGCAGGCTGTGCTCAGCAGCGAGAACACAACAGCTTCACGGATATTATAAAGGAAAACACGTAGCTTTCTCTCTCCTGCTTCCTTTGTCACACTCAGGCATCATTACTCAGCTGAATATCTCAGCGGCTTCAAACGCTTCCTCCCCTCTTGAGGAGCTGCATCAGGCTCCAGTCATCCTGTCAGTGTGGGATGTCTGAAGTTTGGGGATGTTGAGCGGTTGTGAAGGATGTGGCTGTGTGCAGACTCAGGGGTGTGCCAGTCAGCAATTTTTCTGCTGTGCCGTTGCCCAGTCTAAGCTGCTCTCAGTCCAGATGATCAGTCGCTCTTTTAGATGCCAGTCTGACGTCATAGCAACCCCATCCATCCCCTCTGACCTCCTCTTACCAGCATCAGGGACGCTACTGCTCTGCTACTCAGTATCACACCTCCATCGTTCATTTGCATCGATTCTTTTGCCCAGGTCGGTGTTTCAAGTGTGAGTCAATGCGAACGACCTGCCCTCGCCTCTCATTACATGTTAGCTGCAGGGTCCTTATGTAGGCCGGCAACAAGTCACCCACACTGCAGTGCTGTCGTCATAAAAGACAGAGGTTAAAGATGTTTTTGTTTGGACCAGTTTGATTTCCTTGAAATCTCAACAGTGCCGCAACTACTGACTCTTTTCTTATGAATTAATGTAACAATAATGTTTTTGTCTAATTGTTTAGTCTCTATAATGAAATTAACTTCCTCGGATCCCAATGTGATGTCTTGACATTGCTTTGTTTCTTTAATGTAAGGTCAACAATTATATTTAAATAATCTACCTGTTATTCTTTTAAATAATTCATTGTCATCTTGGGGGACCTTGGCATTAAGATACGATAAGATAACATTAAATAAGAATAAGATTAAAGAGAAAAAATAAGAATAAAAATTAAAGATAATAATAGATAAATAAAAGATAAAATAAAATTGCTACATCAGATGAATAAAGTGACTAAAAAATGGCAGACAAAGTGTTGAATAGAATAAAGTGACTCTGCAATATGAGATGCACCGGGCAGCAACATTTTTTATGCTTCTGGCAACTACTGTGGTATAAAGAGTGAGAAAGTCAGCATAAAGTCAGTGAGAGGGGAGGTGGGTGGGTCAACCAAACTCTGGACTTTTACCTGGGAGACCGCTGTTTGCGTCCTGTGTGAAAGTCAAAAGTCAGTCAAGTTCAGTGTCAACTTTTTGACTCATTAGCCACGACGACTGGTAGATCCAGCGGCCAGTAGGTGTGTGTCATATTACCCCTTCCATTATAACACCGGTGTAATTTTTAATATATGAAAAATTCATATTGTGATACTCGCTTACTGACGTATTGACAGATTACACTGTTACCCACGGCAATAACAAGCATGGCTGAAAGCAAAATTATTACAGACTATGCAGTTGTTCCAGAAAGAGGAGCAGCTTCAGTAGTGTGGAATAAACTGTGACGTCCTGACTGTTTTTATGAACAGCCCCAGACTTCTCAGACTCTTTTAGTGACTTACTGCTCAGAGGGAACTCATTCAGCGGCTCCTCTGGCAGCAGCACAGCGTTTCTCCCTCTCCATAGGAGTCGAGGTTGGCAGTCGGTGTCGTCAAATGGTTAAACCTCTGGCAATGTAAACCTACATGACGCTCACGGCTTGACATAAACTCCATATATGTGAATGTGTGATAGTTGTGGTATCATAACAGCCTGTCACAGGTTACAGCGTGATGATTACAGGAGAAATGGCAGAGCATAAAGGTCCAGGTGGAAAAAACACAACTCAGTCATTTAGGATTTTGCTAAAAGAAGGAAATCACCTGTTGATTTACGTATATATAGATCCCAGGGGACATTTTTTGTGTTTGGGAGCTGTTTAAATGTGTAATTTATGGTATATTTTATTTTGTTGCACTATTAATATTGTATACAGAATCTGAATCTCACTCTGAGTTACTGTTGTTGTTCACAAACTAAAGAAATGATAAATAATTTTTGTTTATTTTTTACTGAATATTTAAAGGCAAACTGTAAAACTATATCACTTATTTTGTTGCAATTCTATTTTCTTAAATTGATAATAAATGTTTTTTTTTTGTTTTTTTTTACTAATTTGTCATAATGTCAAGAAAATCATTATCGCAAAAATACCCT